CAAACCAAAGAGGGGCAAGGTATAATCCATATCTAACAATTTCCCATTTGCTGAGCTCCCTCTCAGGCTTCCTCAAACCGTCATCAAGAAAAGGTTTTTCTTCTCCCACAGAAAGGTTCAAGTCACAGTTTTTTTTAATGGGAGTCCCTTCCAATTCCATTGCACAGATTTTCTGCTCAACGTATTTAAGAGGAGAATCAAGTATGTCCACAGAATCTTTCACAGTTTCAGCAATTTTCCCATTCCTTGATGAGCAATTCTTCATTTTCCGATAAATCCAATCTTTAATATAGGATATGGGAAGGTAAACCACCATTAGAGATGCCCCAAGATATGTCACTGCAAATGGCTGTCTATATGCATTATATATGTCCTGCATGGAAGATATTTGTCAGGCGTTAGACAAGGTATGGAAGACTATGGACAAACATATGCCTCAATCATGTTGGCACACAATCAAGAAAAAAATATTTTGAAGCAAAAAACAGATACAACTATGCTAAGCTGAAAAATATTCATAGATGTAAGCTGTATCTTCACATGTAAAACTTCAATTCAGAGCATAGCTTAAATACATCACTTGCATACACTCTCAGGGCAAGGAATATGAATTAGTTGAGGCTGCTGGGATAGTTAATCGCAATATAACAAACTGAACAGAGTACACCCCACAATAAGGTGTCTCTGTAATTTGCTTTAGTCTTGGAACAGTCTATTAAGCACCAAGGTTTTTCTACTGTCATTGCATTATCTACCTTCATTCAAGGCATTGCACCAGCCCCTCTCCCCCAAGGCCCCAACAACCCTGCAGTTTCCAATAGTGATGCTCTCTTCATCTTTATCAGAAATATCACAATAAAGGGGATCGGTAACGCTCAACATGAAAACCAAAACTAAATCATTGAGCTCTTGTGGTCACAAGCTCTCATTTCCAACACCCAGTAAACATCGTTTAATGATCATATAAATAAAGTATATATATTTTGTTGTTACTTGCTAATTGTTTCCCTATTCTTAAGCAATCCTCAGATTGTTCACAAATGATATACATTAATCACAATGTCACCCAAATTTGCAAAAAACTATCTCAGATACCAGAATGAAATCATAAAGCTATTTAATCTCCAGATCCATCTAAGTGGGGTTTATGCTGACTCTTTTACCCAATAACTGATCTTACACCCACCCTATATGAAAGTCGTGTGTTTTCACCACTGGAATCCTATTCAATACAAGCAAGTTGCTACTTCATTGATTGGATTACTCCATCTAAGTGACAAGTGCACATAAAATATACACCCTGGTCTAGGAAAATTGACATACTGTGCCACCTCCCATACTCTCACATTCTCCTTTTTGTTCCCTTTAAGCTAAGGAGTAAAGGAATCTTCTGAATACCAGATTCACCAAACTATTATTTGAAAGAGGAGAGTGTTTTCCTGACATCCCGAAATAGCACGTGATTATTATTTCTAGACAGAGTGACTATATGCAAATGGACAAATAAGTAGAACAATCCTCTCCGGCCTAGCTGAAGGATTATATCCACTTCCACATGACCATGGCTACACAGTCTAATTGGATGGAAGACATATACTATATTTCAGGTTAGTTGTAATTGTATTGGAGTTCGAAAGAGTTCATCAGACCCCGATACGGACTCGAACAATTGACTGAAATCAACCTCATTCTCTCTAAATTCAACAGTCAATCTTTGGTCAATCACCCCCTTATTGTATACTTAGAACTCCATCTTAATAAAGTCTTCTATAATCAATCATAATTTATGTTATACATCTATTTAAATGAAGCATTTGGGTGAGTCATTACTGCACAAATGCAAAATTTTCCCTAATCTTCTATTATAAACCCATTTCCAGTAAATAATAATTCTAACAAATTTACCATTTGCAAATTATAACAACGAAAATTATCAAAATATCAACTCCAATTCCCAATTTTTCAGCAGAAGTTCTACTAAAATTAACACACACGTATCCAAAAAAAATGCAACAGTAGCTTCCAACTTTGAACTATTAGATACAGATTACAGACCCACATCAAAATTTGAAACAAATATCACTAACCAGTAAAACCAGTTTCAAATTATCAAAATAAAACCCATGATTATATTTAGCAATTCAGCCCAAAATTTGTATTAAAATCCTAAAAAAGAGCAAATTATTCAATTGAACAAAATTAAATACTAACCTGGGTAACTTCTGCAGAAGAGACCCAAATGATAACAACAGTTCCAATGAGAAACAAACCAGCATTATACTTGATATTCATCTCAAAAATCAATGGAAACCCCCCAAAATCACAAAAGCTTAATCAATAAGAAAAACCCAAAGAGATCTATTTGAGCTGGGATTTTTTGAGAAAATTTATGGGGCTAATTTGGTTGCTGAAATTCACAGAAAAGGGTATGAGATCTGAGAATTTGATTAATCTATTATTGTTGAGGATGAGTTGGGTTGCTTCAAGCAGAATTGTGGGGAATTTTTTTTTCCTTTGTAGGAAAGAGGAAGAATAAAAGAGATTGAAGAGGAGGGAAACACTAAAAAAAATAATTTTTGGTTGTTACTAGTTAGTTTTCGCTCTTGTTAATGGTTATGTGTAAAAAAAAATTTGACTTAGTTGACTATAACCCATTTTGATAGGGGGTAATAAATGACAGTAATAAATAAAGATTTATTTTCTTTAATTTTCAATGTTTTATTGGTTTTTTCCCTTTAAAAATTGTTTACTTTTATCAATATATATTGTGTGTCGTTGTTCGAATAATTATTGTAAGGATTGTGTGGCGTTGGATAAACATTTAAAATCTTACCTAAAATAGTATTAATTTGAGATAGCATGACAAAATCACGCGTCGATTGATGTAATTAATGTTAGTTTTAATTTAATTTTTCTACTTTTAACTAGCTTATTCAACGCCTCGGGGCGTTCGTTAGCATTTTACTTATTGTAATACTCTCCTATAACACTTATCAAGTAATCACATGATTATTTACTCCTTATTCTATCGCATGGTTCATATATACCTACTCTTTATATAAAAACTAGTTAGTAGTTCGAGCGTTGTCCCAGGTTGCTATTGTTGTAGACATACAATAGGTAATTTTTTAAAAAAAGGTTTTTAAAAATTGAAATTGTCATTATTAAATTAAAATTGAGTTATTCACTTATTCTCATAATTTTTAAAAAAGGTTTTTCAAAATTGAAATTGTCATTGTTAAACTAAAATTGATCGAGTTATTCACTTATTCTCATAATTTTATTGTCTTAGATGGTTAAATAGTCAATTTAGTTATAAAAGTTAGAGGTTTGATTCTTCTTATCAACGTTATTAGAATCACCTTTTAATTCATCACTGATTTTTTCCATTCACAACTTTTAAAGTGTTGGATTTGTTGGTAAGGGTTTAGGAGAGTCTAAATCACACTTTCATAAATCACACTTTCATAATGAGTTACCTCTCCTACATACTAATTACTTTTTCTTACTAAGCACTACCCTTTTCTCTTTTTTTTTTTATTTATTTTTTTTTATTGAAAATTACTTTCACTCTATGTAAAAGGAATTATGATAAACATATGTAGGAGGGGTATATGTAGTAAGAAAGGGTAGTTAAAGATATTATGATAAACATTACTTTTACTATATGTTTGGTGGAATGAAAACAATTTGAGAAGATTATGATTAAGAAAACGTATTTTGTTTCCACTAGTTTGTCAAGGGTAACAAATTGGGGGATTTTGTTACCCTTCGGAAACAGTATTTATTACTTTTAACTCATACCAAACAATTAGAAAAGGAAACACTTAATTGAATCCGTTTCCTATATCTAAAACTACTATACCAAACGCCCCCCTTTAATTTGTATTAAAATAGTTTTATCTATATTTTTATATGTGTAAAAATTAAATATTAATAAAATATTCAATGAGAGAATTGAACAAGATCACACATGAATGACTATTTTATCTTTTATAGATCGATTATGAGTATTTTAGGATCAAATATTTAAAAGTGTGACCCATATTTTTGTAATAGATAAATAGGCAAAAAAAAAAAATATAGAGATAGCCTCTATTTTTTTTTTTTTTGAAACAAGGAATTAGTTATTTAGAGTCATAGATGACAATTGATCACATTTGGATCGGATAGAAATTCATCCTCAAATATATTGTTTAAACATTACTCGTAGTATAATGAAATATAAAAAAATGAAATATAAAAAAATGAAAAATAAAAAATCGTGGAAAACAGTTAATTTAGGTTGGTGCGTGGGGTGTGGGGATATTAATAAATTAAATTGTTCTATATTGCATAACAAAACAAATGAACCGACAGATTGGCAATGGCATTCTTCATAATTTAGCTGGCTAATATCTGATGAATGATGATGGTGTGTAATTATAACACTGCAAATCAACAATTGATCTGCTTATTAAGAATTGAAAATGATATCAACATCACCACATCGACCACATGCGTTCATCTTTTGGGTTCATCTCAATTTAGCTCTAACCAATTTTATTAGGAATATAAAAATATATATATATATATATATATATATATATATATATATATATATATATATATATATTAACGTGATATATTTTCTTTATAAATCTTATCATATTATTTAGAATAATAATTTATCTTAGAAAAATATACACCGAATATATATAGTATAGTTTTTTAAAAAAATTACATGCCAGAAAATTATTAAAGACGTTCATACAAACCAATTCCGAATAACCTTTCAAAAAAAAAAAAAAAAAAAAATTCCGAATAATTATCCGTGTTGTTTCATACTTTCATGAATTACATCTGCTAACTTCCTCTCCTATTTAAACAAGGATTGGCTATAATAATCAATAAAATTTCCATAAAATTATAACTTTCCTATTTTTTTTTTTATCATCTTTCTTTCTCCGTTTTATATAACATAACCCATAAATCTCCATATCTCCTCTTTCAACAAAACAATGAAGAACTACTCAACCATCAATGCTCGTTCAGCCGAGCGAAAACGGCAACATCGAAAACAAGTTGAGAAGGATAACAACTCCGAACCTCGAAAGCAAGTTGAGAAGGAGAACAAGTCCTATGATTTCACCCTTCAACTTGATAGTAAGCAAAGATCATTAAGGGAAAAAACACTAACATCATTAGTTCACTTTTTATCTTCAAACGCTCGTCACGAATTCATTGATAAAAATTACGTTACACTAATTCACCGTTGCCTACATCGCCTTACTTTTAAGAAAATTGGGTCTAGTAAGTTTTCTAAGACCGAGATTCGCCTTGCTGTTCGTATCATATCTCTCGTTGTTATTAATCTTGTTAACGAGGATAAATCTTCTGACATCTTTCATCAGTGTGTTCCTAAACTTGCTAACGCGTTGGTTAGTTTGGAGTATGAAGGTGACGTGGTTTTAGAGTTGATCGCGTGTTTAGGAATGGTTGGGTTCTTTGGTTCGAGGAGTTCGATGGAAGTAGAGAAGGTGATGCGGGTTGTTTGGGATTTTGGTCATAAGTCTAATTCTCCTGGATCGGTTTTGGCGAGCACGATTTCGACGTGGTTGTTTTTTATTACAGTGGTGAATGCCGATTATTTGAGTAACAAGCATTGTAAAGAATGTGTTTCTTATTTATCAAGTTTGTTGAAAAGAGAAGATTTCGAAGATAATGATTGTGAGTCTGTGTATACGGCTGTTACGGATGCCTTGACTTTAATGTTTGATAATGATATGTTAAACAAGTTTTCGTACAAATTAGAGACAGAGGAAGAGTGTGTTCTGTTGAAAGAAAAGATTGGTGGAAATTTTGAGGGAAGTTTGGATGATTTTAGGGAGATTATTCAAGTGAGGACTATGAAGGAATTTCTAGGAAAAGGGGGTTTCGCAAGTCATTTGAAAACGAATGAAAATTTTTATGAATGGTACGAGTCTACAACGTGTGATGAGGCTAATGATGACGACAATGATAATGAGGACATACCCGAAAGAGAGGAGGTTGTGCTGAAATTTTATCGGCCTGAAGTTGAGAGGCAGAAGGAAGACAATGATCTATTATTGCCTTATGTTAGTGCGGCAGAGAAGAATGTTCAAAAGAGAATGATTAAGTCGCCGTGTTCTCCCCTGAACAAGGCTAGGACACGGCTCCTCACCAAGCAAAGGAAATTTGTAAACTATCCTCCAGTTGAAGGTGATTTGTGGGTTTAATTACACTGATTAGAATTTTTAGTTTTTGTTACAGTTTGTTAAATTCTACTACTAGCATATTAGGTTGTTTGGATTTTGTCAATGAATTGAAATTTTGTTACTTATTATCTGAATTCGTATTAGGTTGTTTTACATAGTAATGATAACCACTTATGCTATGAGTCATGTTACTTGGTTATTGTTAAACAATTTTGTGCTCATCAATAGCTGCAATAATCGATGTCAGACTTGAAATTTCTAAACAATCAATCTATGGTAATTGCTCAATTCTTCTAGGGAGTTATAATTCTGCTTTTCTGTAATAAGATCTTAGATTCTCAGCTTAATTAACGGCTCAAGAGCACTTTGTTATTTGTTCATTGATACAGAAATTTAAAATTGAACCCCAATAGAGTGTTTGTACAATGGTAGTATTACCTAATGTACAAGTAGAACTATCTCTAGCTAGCTTGAGCCGTTCTTTATAACTCTTTATCATCCTCAACTTGATTACGAGACTATACATAAGATGCTAATTCAGTACGCCGAGATACCTTGTAAAGCATACATTATCATAGCATCAAGGATGAGATTCCCATAAAATTTCAGCAATAACAGTAGCAGCTTCTGCCTCAGAAACACAGGCTGCCCTAACTCTCCTCAGTATCATCATCTTAATTTCCTTCTTTTCACTCTTCTGCATCCCTTCTCCTACCTCCACTTGCACGACCAACCTTGCAATACACCCGGAAAATGAATTACTCGACGAAGATTCACCCTCTTCACTTTCCAACTCATCATCACCTACACATAGTTCTATGTTTTTTCTTTCCTCTATCCAAAACACTACTTCACTTAAATCACTCCTAAACTCTTCTCTTTGTAACAGCACCAGCTTCTCAACCAATCCAGCATTAATCATAGACTCGAGTACTTCCTTTGTACTGTAATACACCATTTCGATGAGGCAGTGCATTGCCATTAATCTTCTCAGTATATTATTTGAGCATAATAACCAAATAATGTTTAAAATTGTGTCATTAAATAACTTCTCATTAACCAAATGGCCTTCACATGATTTCACAAGAGTTAAGAGAATCTTAAGTGATCTGCTAGTACCATAACATACAAGACCATGCATTATAAGACCCTCCAACAAATAATCAACAAACATATCCCGATTGAACCGAGTCAAAGCACCAATCGCGCACCCGACTTTTTCTTGAACATTTAGTGGGTAACAATCATCATCATAAAGCACCGTCTCGAAAACTATTGGATACAATTTCTCTTCAAGGATCAAATTCTGCAATTCTAAATCAAACCCAGTTGAGATTCGACCTATAAATTGATCAAGAGCTCTCAATTTCTCCTCATCATCACTTGGTTCTTGGAGTATTTTTATCAGGTTTCTGACATTTTCTTTGTCAACACAGAGCTGAATCTCCTTCTGAATTATTAAACCAATGCCAGAGATTTGGTACGAAATTGTGCGGCGTTGAATGAAGGATCGAGGGGTGTAACTTTGACATGATTTGAGATTGTTAATGAGGATTTTGAGGTGATTAAGGTTGGAGTAGATTGAATCTTGAGGAGAAAAAAAGGTGGATGCTCTGTTTTCAAGCTCCAAAAGAGAGATGATTTGGGGTGAATTGATATCTATTACACCTAAATAAATAAGGGATTTGGTTTGAAGAAACTCTAATTCTGTGTTTAGTTCTTGTAGAAACGATACGATTTGATTAGTGTTGTAATTATCCATGATTAAAGTTAGTGCAATAAGATGGAAGAGAGGAGGGAGATGATGAATGTTAGTTTAGGCCATTTTAGGGTTCGTTGGTTTATTGCTTTGCATGATGTATATTGTATAGTGTCTCAACTAACAGTCCAATTACGCGGGACCAACCATTCAATTCAAACGGTTTGTTCTTTCTCTCACCTTTGGAAGGTTAAAAAAATGTGGTCTTTTGTTATATTAGTTCTGACATTCTTCCGAGCTCTTTATATTTACATAGGTTGTTTCACGAGTGTTTCCATGAAATCTTAACACAAACATAATAAACATTGTGAATATGACTGTAAGATCTGAATAAAAACCGAATCTTACTTGTAAGTATTTGTCCCATTTCACAATTAAACATAATAAACATTGTGAATATAAGTGTAAGATTCACCATGTTTAATTAGAGTCATGATAATTACAACTAATTTGAAAAAAAAAAAAAAATTCTATTTTACTCATTTTAGGTACTCATATCGTGAATATGTAAGACCAAATATCATTTTATTACTTCACATTAGGGATGGCAATGGATCTGGACCCGACCCGGATCCGTGGATCCAGATTCGTTTTCACGGATCTGGGTCTTTAAATTTTGGACCCGACGGATCCGAGATCGGATTCGGGTCCTGCTGACAAAAACGGATCTGGATCTGGGTCTGGGCCCTAGACCCGGATCCAGATCCGTGGACCCGTTTTTTATTTTTCCTATTAAAAAAAAACTAAAATTGTTTGTTTCTTTATTAAGAAGTTGATAATGTTAGTAATGATAAAGATTAACCCTTTCAAGAGATGAATTTTGGATGCTCATATTATATACATCATCGTTGTTTTTTCACTAGCTTATATGTAACATCATTTTTTTTTTTGTTGTTTATAATTTTAATCAAAATATGAGTGTGTAAGTTAGTTAATTTGGGGTTGAACTTAATAACCAACAACGTAAGTTTGAAATAAAATTTTTAACCCGAACATTACATTTATTGCAAAAAATTATGCAAAATATATTAGACCCGTTTTGGACCCGGATCCGTTGGACCCGACGGATCCGGATCCGGGTCTTCATTTTCTAGACCCGACGGATCCGGGTTGAATCTGGATCCTATATACAAAAACGGATCTAGATCCAGGTCCATCCGGACCCGGTCCAGATCCGACCCGTTGCCATCCCTGTTTCGGGGTTTTCTGATGTCCTGCGGGAGAGTTACAATTCCGAGACTGGAACCGGACGCCTGTACCTGCAAAATAACGGAGACTCCTGAGAGCTCCGCCTCCAACGGTCAAGTTAGTACCTGATTAAGGAGTAATCAATACAGAAATTAAAGTAATGAGATCTCTCTAGGTGAGAGTGATTAGTGTTGGTAATCTGCGTTGTTAACGAGATTAGCCGGTTGTTAATAAGTCTGTTCTTCTCTGCTTGATCTCTTAATTATTCGGTTGTGTGATTAATGAGGATTAATCGAGTATTTATAGCCTTGGGAAGCGTGCAGCTCTCTAGGTTTAAGGTAAACCTAGGGCTGATCGGGCCTCTAGACTGAATTGGGCCTTGATGGCCGGTTGTCCCACTTGGCATGGGTGGACACGTGGCGTGTCTTAAGTGGTCCGTGGAGGACGTATCTGTGACTGACACGTGGCAAGCTCCTGCTGGCCTTCGTGAAGGACACGTGGCGGAACCTGGTTGGTCCACTTGTCAGACGGTGATTGGTGGATAAAAATCCCCTAATCATTTGCCCCTCACAGGTGGCACGCGACTGGTCACGTGTCGCCTGTGACAGGTGTCGCACGGTAACAGGCGACGGCCCGTTACAGGTGTCACCTTGCAGACGGCCGAGAGATTTTCCCGCCCAAATTTGAATTCGGAAGCGACCCTTCGCCTTCTCATTTCGCCTATAAAAGGAAGTGCTGACTTAGGTCATTTTCACATTTGAGAACTTTTGCGAGAACATTCGGACCCCTGAACTTGCTCTGACACTTTCGGACTTTTTCTGCCTACCGCCTGTTCTGACAAGCCGACTGACCCGAACTTCCAGGACTTCATCAACCGTCACCCGTTCAGGTAACTCAGTTCTCTTACTCTTAATTTTCTTTTTATTTTTTGAAATGGCACCATGGAAGCACACGACACGCCCTAAGTTAGTGATCAGCCGGTCACCGGGGACGGCTGAATCTAGGACTAGGAGTGCCGCCTGCCCTTTTCTGGACCCATCTTTGCCCTTTATACAAAGTCCGACTGAATCTGTGTCTATGCAGAACGTGATGGCCAGAACAAAAAAGACTGCTATGATATCAAACTCAGACGGCTCCTCCCAAAGGGTGCTCCTTAGCGAAACATCTGACCAGGCGCCAGATGTAGAACGAGGCGACTGTCAAGCTGACAGTTCTGAGAGGGGGACCAAGGTGTTCCCTTCCCATCTAACCGTGGACATGTCTAATTTTCCTTCTGCTCCTTCTAAGGGAGAGGAGGCGGGCCCCTCTAGGAGAGGGGAGGAGTCGTCCTCTTCGGACTCGTCAGGGGACGAGTCCGATTCCAGCTCTTCTGACCATAGTTCTTCTGGCTCAGAAGAAAAACATAGCCGCCTACAAGAGGCGAGAAGTTCCCATGCAGTGGAGAAGGGGATAATTGGGCAGAGCCGTCCGCCTCTTATAGAGAGGAAAACGCCCCCTACTACTGCAGGGTGCCCCGGGGCCGGATCGCAACCATGCGAGACAATGTGGCGAGCTTTATTGCTAACCACAAAATGGGCTCAGAGTATTTACTGTTTGTGCCGGATCCAGAAGATACTGTCGTCTGGCCGGCTGGTACCAGCTATGGTGACGGCTGCTTTGGCTGCTATGTGGCGGCCATCAAAGCTGGACTGCGCTTCCCATTACATCCGGCTGTTCAGCGGATTTTAGATGGGTATGATCTGGGGTTATGGCAGTTAGCCCCCAACTCTTGGGTGAACGTACTCGGCTATGTGGCCGGGTGCGAACTGAACGGGGTGGAGCCAAGTTTTGAGGCTTTCGCCCACATGAACTATCTCAGCCGGACCCCTAAGTCGGGAGGTACCGGCTGGTATCAACTAACAAGCCATAGGGGTTACCTCATGACGAGAGGTAAGGCAAACAAATGGAAGGATTGGCGGAACACCTTCCTTATTATCGAGAGTTCAGACACGGAGCTGAACAAACGTTTTAACAAGTGGAACAGGGATCCGCCTCTTCTCGCAGGCGGCCGAAGCATGCCGCCTGTTCCCCCAAA